TCACTGAATAATAATAATTTAATATTAATGACATTTGAGGTACGAATGCATGGCCTTTATTAGTAATACCCCGAGTGTGGGTCAAATGTTTAAGAATCGTTGCGAGAAAACGTGTACCTACTCAATTAGTATACATTGTAAATGTTTTTATATGACGTGTAATCGTACTCCTCTGCGTACTTTTTCATCCTAAGCGCATCTGCTAACGAATACTTTACACACGAATCACTAATTAAAACAATCTCACGTCATTTTCTCTCCCCAACCCCTAACTAGGCGGTTATGGGTTTAAAAATAATTTCATTAACTACATACCAACGCAACTAAAGTGCGACATTGAATTTGAGACCGATCTGAGACTACTGAACACTACAGATAGACACACCGTATTAGAAAACGGTCATATTACTAACTAAACTATTCTGAACATAAGACATGCTGAATCCATAGTTATCAGCTGATACAGGGTCATAACTCAACAAAACAGACTCACAATGAATCATTAAATGTATTAAAATATGAATGTTAGAAATTTTTTTGAAAAGTACGGCTCTAACTTATCGGCCATGTTGTTAAATATATGAGCGCGATGTAGCGACAAAACAGAAATGCCCAACATGAAGCCTGTAAACTCAACAAGTACAATTTGGTCCTGACTCCCCGATACCTATACTGGACTTGTTGATGAATCAAGCCACACAAAAATTTGTGATGGTTTTATAACTCAGTATTATACTCAAGCAACGTATTTTTTAGATATATAACTTTTGACCTCTTCCTTCCAGTACACCATTAGACAGGCAATAAGACAGAACGTGAATTATCTCACAATTTATGCATGCATCAACAACATTCTCCGCCCATGTTAAATTTCGCCCATGTTATATTTCCCATGTTTATATTTATATTAAATCAAGTCGGAAAAAGAAACTCAGACACAGTGTGTTTCAGGATTTTTATGTCGATAAATAGCTTCGTTGTTGGCAAAAAAAATGCTATTTCAGCTCAAGATTGGTTTAGATTTGACACATTTTTGCGTGTAAAACGTGCTAAAACTTAGCAGCCTAACGCGAGCTAGTTTAAAACAGTCACCAAAAATTCTATCTACGCTTGCAGGAGTATTACGTCAATAAATAGTTACGTTTTTAATTAAGTCATGAGTGGTCCAGCCCATGATTGAACTAGTTCAACCAGTCGTTCTAGTTCAACCATGGTCCAACCCGAGCAGACCAAATCGATTAATAGGCCACCTTCTGTTTCTGTTTTTAAATAGAATTTCTGTCATATTATCTGTTGAATTTTGGTTTGCTATGCAGGATCTACCCGACCGCCATCGTCGGGAAGTTGAATCGTTAACTCGGTCGACAATTCTACGGACTCACCAGCGGACTCGCCTGCGGACTCGCGCAACTGGGCCACTCATAATTCCTTAAATNAATGGGAAACCTTCCTATTCATTTTGAATGAATGGAAGCATTCTATGCTAAAAATTAAATTGTATTCTGCCATGATTGATTTATCATCAGTATTGTCCATTATGAATACGTATTATCCATTATGCATAACCTTGCTTGATTTACTATCGGAAAAAGTGTTGTTTGAAGAAACGTTACGTTAATGCCGAGCGGTTCCATATGGAACCAAGCTATAATTTTTCACATACAACGAAAAATAAATATATGAACATATTTTTTGTTTATTACCATCACAAATGATAATATTCTCACAAGAAACCAAAAAAAATTTCAGTAAATAATTCTCATCATTAATGGGTTAATTAATATAAAGGAAAAGCTGGAGAGGTGACGGAATTACCCACGATGTCGGAATATACCGCGTTTACCCTATAAAAATTTTTCATTTTTTAAATTATTCATTCTATGATTCTATCAATTGATTCAAATATTGTCTCTGACTTTATGCAAGTGTGTAAAATTTCATATTGATTGGACATGTAGATTGTAGAACAGAACTAAACTTTAGAAGGGTGTTAAAGATCAATTATAAGATTTGTATTTTGTTGCAGACAAGCAAACAAACAAGTAGTAAAGGTAAAGAGAAGTGTTATAATGATTGATGGTTCATGTATTGCTTTCAATCTATGTAGGTTAGTGCTTTAATCAAAAAATTCAATTTTTAAATATTGAAGGGCTACTGTCAAAGGGGTTAATAAGAAACTGGCAGGGTAACTTAGTACAGTCCTCTGCCAGGCCCACAGGTTGGAAAAATTCCTGTTTTTTCTGAAATATTGCAGCTCTAATATCATATAATTGCAGTAGGTATGAAATCTCTTGGCTCCAAATTCCAATATCATGTATTTTTGTTTGATTGAAGAAGTTGCTGTTTGCTCTACCAGTCTACCGAGTACCGTGGTGCATGAAAATTTTATGAAACGTGTCGTTTCATAAAATTTTCATCTTCCACAATCTGCATTACTTAAATGCTCCCGCCAAAATATCCTGCAGATTGCAGAACGTAATAACAAGTCGACACAAAACATTTCCTTGAAAATCGCATAGTTGCGGTCACGTTAGAGCAGTCGACTGGACTATCATGTGATTAGCTGCCACTTAAGTGAAGACAAATTTTAGTGTTGCTGTACGATCTGAGTGTTTTTGGGGGAAAATGAGATATTTGGGATAACTAGTAATTGCAACTTTGTAAATAAGTTTGTGGCTCATAAATGGCTTTTCATGGCTGAGATAGGGAGTTCATGGCTCAAAGAAATGGAATCATGGCTCAAAGAAATGGAATCATGGCTTGAAAAATCCAGTTGTGACTCGCCAAATAGATATATTCCATGCCTGCTCTGCCACAGCATAAAAATTTTACAGCAGTAAAACTAATTGAAATATTGCAAAACTAATAATGGTGGCATAAACTTCAACATTTATTTATCTATGTGGCATAAAAGAAGTTAAGAAATCATACATTTACTAGCTCTAAAAAATCCCTGAAAAAATGTTTAGAAGTACTGGTGCCATCTAAAATATTTATTACAGGCATCAAACTTTTATATCAATGTAATTTTTACACACAAACAACTCTAAGATGAATTGATATACCTAGTAAATTTCTATCAACTGGACATTCTAATTAGTTGGCTTTTGCAAATTGCAATTTGCAAGTTGAGCATTAAAAAGTTCAAATTTACCCTACTTGCAAAATTACCTTAATTTGTAAGAATGGTATTAAGGTTAGAAAAGATAATCTATGGTTAGAGAAGATGACATAGGTAGTACAATTTAGTTTCAACTGATAGAAATGGAAAGAATCTGAATCAAAAGTTTGACTTAATAGTCAAATTTTGTTCAAGAATATTATTCAAAATAGGTATATAAAACTGTTAAAATGCATCTGCAAAGTAGTGTGGGCAATGACTTGTTCATTTCAGTTTCCAGTGATGGCAGCATTCTGAAACAATAGAAAATAGCTGATTTTTTCTCACCTGTACAGTTTGAGTATTTTTTGGAACTATTAACTATTATTAACTATTAGAAAAGCTATCATTTGAATTCAGTCATTGATATGACAAAATATTGGTCTCTTACTTTATCAAAAGTTGATGAAATCTCATTGACCCTGGCCACACTGAAACTTTAAAAATGCCCATACTTGTGGTCAATTCCACCAGTTTATAACCTTTGTCTAATTTCTTTCATAAAAATAAGATAAATAGCACATTTTTGCCAGTGATTTTTAAAAATTGCCTAGTAAAATGATCATTTTTATCCACAATTTTCTGGAAAACTCTGCCTGATATTCCAGTTTTGCAAACATGCAAATTGGGCAGGCGGCACCTGCGAATAAGACAAAATGCCCATGCTAACACTGAACTAGCTCAATTTACCTGGTTTGTAATTTCTATAGCCACAGGCTACTGTCAAGTCAATGCTAAAAACCTTCCCACTTTCCTGCAGCACTCATTAAGTTAAGGGTTAAGTTATTATTTTGGCAGGATTCCTTGCAGTAAGTTATTATGTAGGTAGGATTCCTTACATTTCCCTTCTCTGTCTCTCTCGTATGGGAGGCCAGCATCCCATGTAAAACAACCTCTTGTTTGAGTGTCTTTGTATTTGTTGCTTTTCACCTGTCCCTCTTTGTTGCTTTGTCTCTTTGAGATGCTAATGCTGCTTCTCTCAAGCCAGCTCCAGTGGGCTGGTTACTCGAGACCTTCTGCCCTTTGTGGGTGATGAATGATTTTTTTATTTAAGAAACTTTCAATAACTGAGACCTTTTACCTCTTTGGTGATGTTCATCTTGACTTTTGGTGTGTGATAGCTGAATAGCTGAAGCTCTAGTAAATATTTGGCGACTAAGCTAACTAACTAACTTCTAGTGCTAACAAAACTGCTTTGTAGTCATCATGTGGTTCTATATTTTCATATGGTTCTATATTTAACCAGTATAACATGGTTTTTAGTGACAAGCAGCAAGAAATTAAGATTTTCTGCTGAGTGGCGACTCAAGTGGCATTGACAGAAGTACATATCTAAGGTTGCTGAGTAGTGCTCAGTTGGTGGTTGGTAGGTATGGGCCAAAAAATGTCAGCTCAAAATTAAATGTAAACCACTCAAAAGGCAAAAATATATGAAATTATCATATAATTATATGTAAATGAAGTACCAAGAAAGAAAAAATGACTAGAATTTTTTATCTCTGTTAAAGGTGTTTCAGAAAGTGGCCCAAGATTAAAGGATTTTAGTGGCTCATTGCCTTCTTGGATTCCAAATAGAAAAAAAAAAAAACAAGTTTCTGTTTTTATGTCAAATTAGGGTCAAATAGTTGCTGAAGATGTATTTTTTTCAACACTTGAAATAATTTTGATGGGTAAAAATGCATACTGAGTGCATTTTTAATCTAAGAATTGGATCAAACAACTGAAACTCCTGTATGGTGCAGAGCACATCATTGCTATTATCTTTTTTGGCATGATTCTTTATTAAGTTTAAAACCTGCAAACCTGGCAGGATTTTGCAAATTATTACTTGCATTAACTGTTTGTTATAATTTATAATAATTTTTATCAATATGCATGCATTTTTTTCCAGGAGGAAAGCTTGAAAGTCACAAGGGCATGTGTTTCAGGATCAGAGTTCATCAAACTTTATTATGATTCTGTTGACAAAGTAAGTTGATTTATTTTTAACATTGTGTATATTGTAATGGACTTGCTTCCACTTTCTAGGGTAATTTTTGAGCTACAATTTTAAACCCTCATCCTGTTATTAATTTTTAATATTTAATTCTATAAATTTTTATTTAAAACCTGGCAATAATATATATTGGTCAGATGTACAATATGATATTTTCTTGTGGAATCTTGATATATTGGAAAAATGTGAATCTCGAGTATACTTATAGGTAGGTATATATTCAAAATTTTCAATTCCATTCAATCTGTATTATGTTTTATATAAAAAATTATAATTGACCCTATATTGCATTGTGTTGATGAATTTGGCAGGGAAGAATTTTCTAAAAATATCAAGAAATTACTTTTTAGTTGGTTATTACATATCTTGGCAAGTTCCTAAAATAGGATGTCATTCTATACAAACAGGAGCCTTGTGCTAGATATAAAGCAATGGTTAAATGTAGTTTTTAAATACCAGAGATTAGTAAAAAGCTTGAGATGCATAAAATTTGGTGTAAATTTTCTACAGATGGGCTGATGCAATGTCTTAATAGATTTATAAAATACATAATATGTCTACCTGTAGTGATATTCTGATGGTGCATAGTACAGTATTTACTTTTGGTGGCCAGAAATAATTTGTTTAGTTCTCATTTTCTATTCTCTTCTTCCTATCTAATTACAGTAAAATTGAAGGATCTCTTATTCTCAAATGTTAGTCTAATTTGAAGATTTAAGTATACTCCTGGCTTGTTTCATGTTCTATTGCATTGAATTAAAAAAAATTGTCATTTTGTTACAGATGAGACACAAGCTCGCCAAGCTGTACCTCAGTGATGCCGAGCTTATCTGGAACGGTAACCGCCTGACTGGTGACGCTGCCATACAAAAATTTTATGAAGAACTGCCCGTCAGCCAGCACACAGTGCGATGCTTTGACTCACAGCCAGTTAGTGGTATGTTTCTTCATAAATTGTACCTAACTTGCAACCCTTTCCTTAATATTCCTTTGCATTCTTACCTTAAACAAACTCAATTTAGTTATCAATACATAACTGTTTAACAATTTATGAACTTTGCTGTTTATTAAAACCAAGGGATATCTGCTACTCTGCTAAAAAACTGTTTTTTTATTCAAATAAAAAGTATGAATAAAATAAATAAAATATCAAATAAAAAGTTTTAATATAACTGTTCAATTATTACGCTCTCTAAATTAACTTTGTGCACTTTCTGTTGTGATGTGCAGCTCGGGCTGTGGGAGATCAGACCAGCCTGTTGATCACCACGGCGGGGTTTGTGTTCTTCAAGGGGAAGCGGTCTGACTTCACCCAAAGCTTCCTAATAACTTGCTTTGAAGACAAGTGGAAAGTCGTTTCTGATTGTTTCAGATTCCAACAGTTCATAACGTAGATTATATCAAGCCATAGTGCTTATATCTTCGTATTTAATGTGCAGTTGTTGTATTTAGGTAGTGTAATTCAACCTCGGTTAGAATTGAATTTGAGCATTTTTAGTACCATATGACCAATATTTATAATTGGAAAGTGGTTATACTTGTGCGAGTTTCCATAATGGCATTACACATTACAAACCCAGTATCGAGTCATTTATATCCTCGTTCAGTAGGTGCTATCCAAAAGCAACATCATTCACTTACAACCTGCAAGGAGACTGCAGTCGATGTTGATGAAGACTTATACTCAATTATGTCCAACTCTTTTTGAAAATATGAATCCAAACAATGTAAACTTCTTACAACTTAGAATATTCCCATATCCTTGTACGAGATAATTGATGTTATATTGGATAAATTTACAGTTCAGTTGTAACGTCAGGGACAAATATCTACAGTTAAGAGGAGTTCAATGCTTTGTACGAAGTGAGGTAATAAGCGAGAAATTATCAGGCTTAAAAATACAAGACGTCGTACCATTCAGTTTAATTTCAAATGAAAACGCATTAATAATTTTATAAAATAAATATTAGATCGATAAGTAGAAATTTTGTGGCCGATTCTAATGAAATAGATGCGCTAAAATCTCGAATAATGGAATTTCACTACGAACTTTCCTTGCTGGCGGTAATTAAGTAACAAATTCGAAATTATGACCCGGCACTCGTATACCTAGAATGTTTTTTCTTATAGCCTAACGAGTTGCAACTCGTATAAATGACACGCGCTTACAGTTAACTGTACCTAACTGTAGTTGTTCCCACTTGTGCACCCGTGCAGTACTGCATACCCAGAGTGTTCAGGGGCATACACCCAAGGTCATGCTGAAAGCACCACCTTTTTGACGGTGACTTAGCGCCATCCACTAGCAACACCGAGACTTTGACAGCTTCCCTGGACTTGAACCCACGCCTGGCTCCTCTATCTTGGTGCCGCGCTGCCGTCGTCACTGCGCATACAGTGGCGCACTGCTAGGAAGTTTTAGGCCAAAGGCGCTCTGGCATGTAGCATCAACAATTTAATAAGTGACCCAGTATACAAATAAACGAGTATGATACCTTCCGTACGTGATGCAAGACGTACCCACTCAAAGTAAGGTTGCTAAGGAGGAAACGAACAATTTGACTACAAGTGATACACTGCCACCTTTGACATCAATATTTCATTTTTGGAAATGACAGTACTGAAGTTATTTTAATTATTTAGATCTTCCGAAGACCGAAATTACAATGAATACAGATGGAATGAAACCAAATGATCGATTCTCTAATTTAAACTCTCAGAAGCAAGTGTTTGTGTGGAAAGTTACATGAAGAAAGTAGTGGATAGATCAAGTCCAAAGCGATTCTCCACAGCCATGATGACATAACACTATAGTACTACTTTTCAGAAATTTCTAAATGTAAATTGCATTACCTTTCAGGGACACGCACTTACCATGCTAAGCTCGACCAGATAACCTTAGAACACGGCGGCCCAACACGAGACGATCAACAACAGCTGTACGCAACGTCACGAGCATGAAGATAATCAGAACATCACACGTTCACAGACAGCAAAGGCTTCATACAACACAATAAATCATAAAACATGGAACCGTAATAACCCTACAACGAAGGAACTACCATGATTCACGGGTGACATTAAGCTTATTAACTTCATCATAATTTAAGCAGAATCAGCGAAAGTTACCAATTTAAATACAGCAGAATTAACTTATTGGCAGCATACATTTAATGAGGGCTTATTTCATCAGGTGATATTAGTTATGCCAACCTAAACAAATATTTTCACAGGGTAATTGCGTACAAATGAAATCTAAATGTTAAATGTCTACCTTTGACCAGGCGTGTCGTGAAACTCAGACAATCAGCTCTCTGTTACAATGTCACAGGCTTTCATATTTACAGGTCTTCCACCCAACCATTGCATCAAGCCATCAACTAACACTTTGGCTGCAAACGACAACCATCCTTTTTTTAGATACGAAGAACATCAAATGGATAACAACTTTGTGGATAAAAGGTTGAACGCCATACATTTTTGAATGAGAGGCAGCAGTTTTTTTTTTTTTTTTTGCTGGCAACACTTATGGCATCTAACTCAAAAGCTAAATTCATCATACGATTTAAAAAAAACTATGAGGCGTGTTCTCAGAAATGAGACGCAAGAAACTGTTTCGGCACTCGCCAAGATGCTGTACATTAATGTAAGAGGAAATTTCTTGAACAATTATCATAACCATAAAAGACGACCAACTCAACTGTAGAAAAGAGGTATATTAAATACCATAGATTAAATTACAAAATGAATATAACAAATAAATCAGATCGATGAAATCATTTACAAGTTGGTATGTTTATCTTAAAATGAATTCAACTCCAAATACAAGTTTGTAACAGAAGCAAATGCAATTTTTTTTCTACAGTTCACCAAGTATGCAGATGGGTTGCCACAAACAGTATCAACAATTCTACATCACTGCATATTGAAGAGTAACAACACGGCGATCATCAGACAATGTTAGATGTCGCTGTAGTGCTAGACTAGACGAACTCATAACTGTGGCTCTAATCTTTCTTCTTTTGACCTGGGGGCTTGGGCTTGACCGTTTTCTCCTGCTGTTGGTTGTCGCCATCAGTACCATTGGCAATAGCCGCTTGTTCACCAACATTGCCAGCAATTTCCTTCTTTTGCTTGGCTTGGATTTCCATGTCCTGGGAGAAGCCAAACTCGTTCACACGAGATGGGTCGATGCGGTAGATGTAACGCTGAAAAAAAAAATTATTAATATCTTACATAAATTGCATATTAAATATGAATTCGAAACTTGATACTTTTACTTAATATGTTAAGATTTGATAAATCATGAAAACCTTTTTTCCATTCTAAATATTTATCTAGATTTCTCGCACATGAATCAATTACTTTACACTCAACAAAATCATTACAATTCTCGATACGTTATTAAAAACGCTACTACTTCATCTTGTTAGGAAATTTTCAAAAGCTATTTGTTCAAACTAAAATATTTCCTCAGATTAAAAAATTATTAAATTAAAAAATATAATAGTCCATTCCCAATACTGAAGTTTTAGCTAATGCATTCTAACAAAGGTTTAAGGTATAGACACACGGCCACCGACATACTTGGTAAAGGAATATGAAGAAAATGACGTCATCCCTGAGGCAGCCGAGACGGTACATGGTGGGCATCTTGATAACAAAGGCGAAGATGTCGTCAATGAAGGTGTTGAGGGCCTTGTAAGTGAGCATACGCCAGGGCAAATGAGCAACACTCTTCAATTTATAGTTGATGAACAGCTGAGGCGTCATCATGATGAAGCCGAAGGTGAGGAGGAAACCATAGAGCATTGAGAGCACGAACGAATACCAGCCTTTGTGCTCGTAGTAAATGAGGGAGTAGCAGCAGTAGGCACCTAGCAGAGGGAAGAGCGCTATGCCCAGGTACCGGAAGGCCATCTGGTCATACTGCTTTGTTGAGGACTCGACATACGTGCCTTTGTCGGCTAACGTAAGTGTTGGGATGCCAAGGACGCGCTGCTCGTAGTTAATGGTGACGTCCTTCACCTGTGAACATTTTTGTCTTTCATATCTTATTCACTTAAATCACACATAGAATATTGTGGATATCTGAAGCCTCAATAACATTGATATCTGAAGCCTCAATAACATCGATTGGATAAAAAATTCCCAAAGAAAATCGTCAATAACGCAGAAGTTTCTCTAATAATATTCGGGAGCATACAGAAAATTAAACGAATTACTAGTTAAGAAGTCTTACAGCAAAATTCTCAGCTGAAAGAAATGCAATACCTTGGTAATTTTCCAGAGTTCAATAGCCAGTCCAACAAAGCAAGAAACTTTAATAACAAAGTTTGTTTCATTGTCACAGACGTAGAGCAGCACAATGAGCGCCTGGAACACATTGAAGAACACGCTGCGAACTGACAAGCCTTCGAGGGACTGTCGGTTGTTCCAGAACTGAATATCTGCAAAAGAAACGCACGCCAATTAAATAACCCATGTCGACATAAATTTACAATGCCATTCACATACTATTGTAGACACAAAATGTTCATATAAAAAATGTTTGAAAATTGAATAATGACTGGTACTTATTTCCTCAGTAATGAAAGAAAGTCAAGTATTTCTATTCTAGTTTGATAGTATATTAGTTTTGCAATAATAACATAAAACACAAAGAAAAAAAAGAATATTTGTATGATATTGGAGAAGTGGTGTTCATTATTATTATTATGAAATACCTACTAAATCATACTAAACTAAGACCTTCGCCAATATTACCATTCTTAAAAGCCAAGAATTCAAAGACGGAGTGAAGAATGGAGACGACGATGGTGAGCACCAGCAAGATTGGGTTCGTCTCCAAGATGGCCTCCTTGAGAGCATCGTTGTCTTCATCATCTTCAGAGCCTTGCAAGCCATCGAGCAGACCGCTCGCTGCACCCCATCTATAAGTTACAAGTTATTGAAGAGAATGGTAAGCGGCAGGCGGTAAGTTACAAGGCTGAAAAATTAAAGGCTAAAATAAAGAGAATGCGATGGTATCTACCTAATTCTACGTTCGTAATACTTTTGCACTTGTAGGTATTCTAGGTTTTTATTATAAAAAAACTCTTTATTTCTGCAGTGCAAGGATGAATGATGCAGTCAATATTAGAGGATAAGTTGTAATAATGAAACCACGCAGGAATAAGGTCGGTCTTAATACATACAATGAATTGCTGGACAAGATTGACCAAAATTCTCTCAAAAATTAGTTATTTTAAACATGTACCTACATTAGAGGAAATATTAAAACATTGAAACAGAATAGCAGTGTTATGGATTAATATTTAATATTGTAGCTTTGAGAGTAACAAACTTGTTTTTGGAGCTCTGTGCGGCATAGAGCTGCCACTTGAAGAGACTCAGAGGCTGGAATGTGAAGGTTAGATTCAACGTCGTGGTGGAGCTGTTCACTGGCTGGTAGTCGCGCACCAGGTTCCAGTAGGTGTTTACAAAAATAATTGGTTTGTACCTGCATACACAAACATTGTAAATGTGTATATTTATTAACATAACAATGCGGAAAATAATTGAACATTAAAATTCAGAACAATTTTGGGAATTTCTAACACAATATTTTTATTTCGCGAAATGAAACTGCATATTTGGCGCATTTTCTCATATATGGAAAAAAAGGCGCTATTGTGCTCGTCATGTCCGTGCATCCGTCCGTCTGTCTGTGACTTCACGTTTTCGTCGATTTTGAGAAAATGCGCTCTTTGTCACTCAGTGCAGTGACTACTGGGTTATATTTTTCTATAATAGGTGAAACTAAAATCTATAGAAAATGAAAAAAAAATCACTGATTCATCTTGACATTTGTCTACCAACAATATTTGTCCATCTACCACTAAAAATTTGAGTTAATTTTCGGCAATATGTTTGTTCTACTCTTGTCATACTAAAATTGCATTTCAAATATTTAATCTATCACAGTTGACATAATTCACACTGAATTTAATGAGCGGACACTCACAGCGGCTGATCAGGAACAAATTCAATGTAAGGTTCAAGAGGAGCGGGAACAGCTCCAGGGATCCACTGGGTGAAGTCATGCACAATGTTGATGGTGACGTTGGGGTGCCAGTGGGATATCACTTCCGACTTCACTGTATTTGCTTTCTGCAACAAGAAACGGGGTCAAAATCATACTAAATTCACCATAAAATATGTCAATTTATCCCTTCAGTGATGGTGCAAAATTCAATAGAGAATCTGCTGACTTATTCCATTATAATATAAGTACAGTCACAGTAAAAAGTGTTTACAATAAAAAAAATTCCTTGAATTTGAACGAAATTTTACAGTAAAAAAGTCACATTTTTGGGACAAAATTCACAAAATATTTTTTTCAGACCTCTCTTTGCACAGCAGCAAGTAGTCTTTGGTAATAAACTGTGTGTAGACTGTAGAAGAAATTATATGCGAATGTCACTTCATGTTGTTCGAGGTCTTCAAAGGTCTTTGTTCCGATGTGGCAAAGTAAGGAGAGTAAAAATTGAGTCAATGACTATAAAATGAGCAAAGAATACCTAAATTTTTACAGAGAAAATAGTAGAAAAATATTTCACTCCGGGAGAGAGCTTGAGAGGCTGGATTTTGGACAGAACTCGGAAGGTAGGAAGAAATTGTCTACAAGAAAACCCTCAGCTAAGAAGGTCTCCATGTCAATGACTTGTACCTTGTGCAGAGTAGGGCGCTAAACAGGACAAAAAAAGAACCCTCTAACGGAAGAGAAGTTTACTCATGAAGTGGATGATGATGAAGGATGTGATCTGATGAAGAAAATGAGCTGATATCAGAAGGCTGTGGAATTGTACAATGTTGTCAAACTAGACAACACAAAAAAAAAGAAGAGTAATTTGAGGCATTTAAAATAGGTATGTTATTATATTTTCTTTTTATGTTGTTAAGAGTTTTTCATGGTACCACACAAATGATGAAATCAACACGATAAGAATATTTCTGTATGAATGAAACATAGGCATAAGGCAGACTGTCAGAAAGATACACGGCATCCAAAAGCCACACACGTTCCCCTCACCATTATTTCTTCTTCAGATTTTTCTGTTGCTCCCGTGATGAGGTTGGCAGTCTTCTTGTAATGTCTCTTCATGTATCTATTTAGCCTATGGGAAACATGTACTGTGCTCTGGCTGCGATACCGCTTACTTCCAGGATTAGGATCATTGCCAGATAGTACAAGATAAATACGCAGAAATGCAGTCCCGTTATTGCGAAGATCCTGAGAAAGGGGCAATGTAAAAATAATTATGTCAACCTCATCACCAAGGTGAGTCATCAACAATTATTTTCTAAAAGTACAATTTTTTACATAATTGTTTTTCAGTATAAGACTATGGAAATTAATCAAATTGTTAAGTTCACAGATTAACTGAATCAAGCCAAAATAAATGGGAAATTGAATTACTCATTGAATGAATAAAATTAGGCTTTTCTTACTAAGGATTGAACATGTGACGAAGTTTTGTTGTAATTTTGGAACTGCCGTAGTAAAAATAAGAGCCCCAAAACAACAGGTCTATGGTTATGAAAACTTCACAAATTTATGAACTTTTGGTTATGTTCTGGGCTCTGTCATCATGGCATGGAATATGGTATCTATCATTCATTTGAGGCTTTGAGCCACAACTAGACCTTGACGTTGACAGAAATTGTCAGAAGTCAGAACCACAAATTCCTGCTAGATAAATTATGTCCTATCTTATTGTTAATAAACTGTCTGATTAGGCTGCAAGATTCCAAATGCATTATAATTTGAAAATAGGCCACTTTTGACTTTTGAGTTGCAAGATTTTATTTATAAGTACCTAGGAAAATTCCAATCTAGGTCATGTTATTGTCAAACAGCATGCATGCACATGCAATACCTAGGTATCCTAGTATGGAATATGGATTAACAACTAAAATGTTATATCCCTAGATCAATATAGTGATAGTGGAAGGTAAAAATTGAGACAAAACATTTTAAAATTTGAATCATTGTCCATTTCCATTGTCCAGTAATGTCCTCACTCCTCAGTTTGCATAATTCAGTTAAATCTCAGACATTATAATCATGAATTGAATTAATTCATGGATAAAGAATATTTTTTATTAACTTAAATTTTCTAGGTAGGTAGGGTAAACGCGGTATATTCCGACACATTAAGGACGCATCGAGAAATGAAAAACTAAAAAAAAACATATGCGTTACGTAAGTTCTGTTGCCTTCACATGACTCTCAAAACACTTCACTACGCGTCAGCAACAATGAAACGTCATAAAATGTTGCCATATTCATTAAAAAGCCTTTAGAATGGAAACCTACCAAATCCCTATATTCCGTCACTTTGTGTAACAACATCCGACACGTGGTGAGTCGTATTGCGTCAGCGCTTCAAATTTAACTGATACGTATTGCCGACATCCACGTGTTTGAATTCCGTTTGCTGTATGAGCTGTATTGGGATACAACACGGCTTTGAATTAGAACACTAACGAATATTGAACACTACTTAATTACGTTTTAATTAACAGCTATTAGGCTTTTAATTAGTAGTTCAATAGGCCACATTAATGCAGTAAGATATTTTCAAATGAATTTTTTGTTCTTGCATATAGTTGAGCCATTAATAACCATACTGCTTTCTTATACTGTAGAGAGGAAGTAAAGCTGGAAAGCATAAGAATTAAATGTTTTTCACTTCAGTGTCTTTGAAAATTTTATCATCATAGTACTGAGAAAATGTTAAGGTAACCAGTTTGATAATATCCCATCAAACACATTTTGATAATTATTATTCAGGAAAATACCAGCTGCAAAAAATGAAATGCTAGAAACAACTAAAATGTAGATTTTTCCCCAAAAAAAAAAAACATTATTTAAAGAGAAAGATTTTTCATTTCACTAAACCTGACAAGGTGATAGGTATGTACAAACTTTGAAAAATGAGTACTATGAATAATTGACTCATATTAATTAATTAATTAATAAATAACTCACTTCTGAGGTAGGAAAACTACTGTTGCCATAGTAGCATCCATCGCCATCCACTCCACCAGTCCAGTCACCATAAACAAGTCCTCGCTTGCGCCACAGAAGTTGTGTGGGGAACTCAAAGAAATCATCCGTGGGACTGAGGTAGACATAAAGATCCATTTTTGTCTGGTCAATAAAAAGATTGCTGGCAGGTATTCTCATGGCACCACCAGGAGCTTCAGTAACAGATCCTTTTCCAACATCAGGAGTGCTGCCTCTTCTGCAACAAAACAACCATTTTAGAACATAATAAAAGTTGCTTTCACGATGTATATTATATATATATACTTGAGACAAAATATTGCGCTATCAACCCTTTCTTTACCAATCAAAATTGCTGAATAAAAAAAATTGCTTTATAAATTCTCTTTATAAGAACAATTCATAATGCTTTTTGTCCATTTGAATAAAGAAACCAGAGATTATTGTGATAGTCAACCTGAAAAAAGAGGTAATGAAGTAAATCATCAGAGCTCGGATCAAGAATCCCTTGGCAATGGACCAAATTGAAGTGCCCTGTTCTTGTGGATGGCCTTCAGCAGCTCCATCTCCAGCCACAGCACCCTGAAAAATAAATTATCCAAGTAAATACAGAAGACTTGTATTGCATTTTTATCTTAATATCCACAGTCATAACTAATATTTACAGCCAGTTTTGTTGTTATTTTGGAACTGCCGCAGTAAAAATAAGAGCCACAAAACAACAGGTCTATGGTTATGAAAACTTCACAAATTTATGAACTTTTGGTTATGTTCTGGCATCATGGCATAGAATATGGTATTTATCATTCATTGGAGCCACAACTAGACCTTGACAGCCATTGTCAGAACCACAATATTTGTGCTAGTCTGCTAGATAAATTATGTCCTATCTTATTGTAATTAACTGTCTGATAACTGATGTGGGCTGCAAGATTCCAAATGCATTAAAAATAGGTCACTTTGAGTTGCAAGATTTTATTTATAAGTAGGAAAATTTCAATCTAGGTCACGTTATTGTCAAACAGCAATACAGCATGCATGCACATGCAATAGTAGGCCTATATTATAGTAGTATCATAGTATGGAATCTGGATTAACAAATAAAATGTGATATAGGTCAAAATAGGGATAACTGATAAGTGGTGAATTAACCTATAGTTAAAAATTCAGACAAAACATTTCGAAATTTGAATCATTGTCCAGTAATGTCCTCAGTTTGCAAAATTCAGTTAAATCTCAGACATTATAATCATGACTTAAATTAATTCATGGCTTATGAATATTTTTTATTAGGTAGGTAACCTAAATTTTCTATCTTTGTTCTCATTTTCATTTCAAGGTTTCTCTGTGTCATTGGTGTCAAAATGTCAATAGGCTACCTAGATTAATAAATCATAAAATTATTGAAAAGCTCCTAAATCCTAGTGCATAGCTTCAATATTAATTGCTTATTTCATATTTGACATTTCAAAGAGAATTGATTGAAGTTCAACTAGAATTTTAATCGTGATTCCTATTTCCTATCGTCTAATCTCTCCTATAACTTGATTATCTAACACTTACTTGTTGAGCAACTGATACATCTGCCATAATAATATTCTATAAATGACAAATTTTAATAGGAAACAAGTTTTGAAAGTCACAATGCCCTGCCAGTACCAGTAGAGCAGTAAGTAGGCAGCAGCTTCAACTTTATTAACAAGGATCAAGGAAGAGAATAATACGGTAAATACCCGTCCCGCCGTCCGATTTCTGTGCTCAGCAAATCAAGGCAGTAGGGAGACGGGAGTGAACTATCTCAATTTTGATCTAATTTTATCAACCTACTAATACAATCATTTCCAGAAAGATTTTAGGTCATTTTAAATTCAGCTGTTTTTAGTTCATTCATCACGTGACGAGGGCAACATCTAAATTCAGGGCGTGAATCGGCTAATTCTGCTGGTGGAGTAGTTAGTGTCACTCCGTTTCCGCTTTTCAGAATTTCCGTGTATCATGACGTCAGTAGGAATTTCGAAGGCTCATTCGCAAAATATAGCTGGCTTAAATAGCTTTGTTATCTATATATGGTAATGTTTCTTTTTCGCTTCAAATTCTATATCGAATTCTATTTATTTCATAAATCTAAGGGGGAGCTGGGTGGCCAAGTGGTGTAGTCACTGTAGCAGGGTAGCTCAGTGGTAGACATAATATATATCAGTTTCAGCATTATAAGGCCGTCGGCCTGTCGCCGATTCCTAACATTGCAGAACATCCACAGCTTTTTGCGGGTTTGAACTTGCAGCTCACTGCTTCAAATTTTCTATGCTTAGCCTCCCGGTCTCCTTGCCAATTCTGACCAGAAACTGGGGCACAGAGCTGGGATCGAACCCGCACTTCTCTGCTACTATATTGTACTCTGGACTTTAACCACTGGGTCACCCTTCCCCCACTGGACCAGGGTATAGTAGTAGGTGTAGTGGCCGGGCAGCCCAGTGGTTACAGTTTAAAGTTCTAGGACTGGAGCATTTAGCTATGGGTTCGATCCCAGCTACCAGCAACAGTTCTGAAATCAGCGAGGTAAACGGACGGTTGAGCAACGCGAAATTGATACACTGAGTTGCGTGTTCGAGACCCGCGACAAGCTGAGAATGTTCTGCAATGTTCAAAATTGGCGACAAGTCAAACGGCCTAATCCATGCTGACACCGCTATACTAACAGCATCTTGTAAAAAAATTAAGTTATCTGATGAAAACAATTATTACTTGCCTAATAGGGAATGACTTAAGCTTATCATTACTTAGGGATGTAGCGCGATTGTTGTGAAGGCGATTCGGCTGTTGCCTTTTTTATTATTTTTCTTTATCAATTTTCTTTCTTAAATAATAAGAAATTTTACTATAAATACACAATCCTCCTAATCAACACATTGCTGCCAATGTTCATCTCACCACATTACTACACATTCATCACCAATACTGTCTTTGTTGCTTGGCCGTCTTGCTTACGTTGCAGTTATATCACTTACATAGTCGAACAGGATAAGCAACTAATATATTCTCACCAAGTGACCATTTCATTTAACTTTGCATAGAAATTACGTGAAGCTATTTACTTAAATGTCATTGATATCATACATCTCGTATCATATGCCACGCAGGATAAAATATTACTAAATGGTTCATTCTGCCATTAAGCCAATCGGCAACAAATTTAAAGAAGAAAAATCAATCTATCAGTTATTGTCAGTAAATTAGTCAAAAATTTTAATTTTTTTCTGGCAGTTGCCGATATTCGAGAAGGAAACTTAAATGCCACTCAACTTTCAACTTTTTATGCATACACTCAAACGGGGTAATAAGGTACGAGTTTGAGCGTTTTCCGTTAATAACTTCTTACCATGCTACATTTCATAAACGAGTTTGGACTCATTTTGAAGGTTTTTGCAGGGGCTATCGCATGGCATCTCCAAAAAATTACGCGTGCTATTCGTAAAGTGCCAGTCGCGAAATGAAAGCTCTCGACTTTCTTGGATTCATTTCATAATAATTGGGAAGCTATTTCACCTTCTCTCACATTTCCATAACCCAGCTTGGTGACTAAAAGAAAGGCGACAGATGTTTGGAGCTTGAGTGCACGCTGGAAATATCAATTACTTCCTGGAAACTGGGTAGGGCGAGTCTCGCAGGACTTTACTCTTTCATCACGGCTATCTTATGCTTACTTCTTGTTTTAATTTTCTTAGCATAATTTTCTCTTAATTATTAATCTCTGCATAAAATTACAGAATTTTTTGTTCCCTCTGTCCTTCTACGATGTTCCTTTCCATCTCGCTGCTCCGCCCATCTCCAGCCCAGCTGGCCTCCCGCCATCCCCTCTCTCCCTACCCCACATCCTGAACGGTTGCTTCAAATCGACCATCGGCAGCTGCTGGGCGTCAATGATCGTTGAGCTTGGGAGGGCAGGGGAGGGGGTCACTTGGTAGAAGAATAAAGGATAGGTCACAAATAGGAGAGCTCAACAGATGGTCTTTCGGAGTGTAGCGTGAGTGAGGGTGTGTGTGTGTACTCCCGTGGCTGTAAACACAAACTAGCTTCCAGATTTTGTGTCCCAAGTATGTATCCTTCCTAGTGATTGATCTACAAATATATATTTTAATGAATTTAAATGGCCAATAATTATACTATTTAGAAAGTTCCGCAGATCGGTTGTCATAATCAATAACGTCTTTGTTGTGGGGCGCAATGATGATGTCACGAGACCAGTCGGATGCTTGTATCCCAATGCCATGCACTTGCGAACTTTTGGCCGCGTAGCTCTGCAAATTTAGACACACAACTATAATTATTATCAATGGATATATCAGATATTTCAGTGAGCATTTACAATTCTCCAGCTGCATTAGTAATAATTTCCATGCCATTATTTTACCCGAATAAGTTGTTCCTCACTCGATCATTGTACAACAGAAATGCGAAACACGCCTGGAATGATTGATTTTCAGCATAAAAATTGAGCTTACATATTTAGTTCCATATAATGCATTGTACTCAGTAACTACATCATTTAATCATTCCATGTAAATAATCAACTGACCAACCTTAGGAAACGAGATCTTGTAATTTCTATCTTATTTGTTTCCCATTCTTGTACGAAGTTGGTAGTCAAAATTCGCATGCATGTTCCAGTCATGCCGGTCGCTGTGGCGCCAGACGATCCTCTCGCTGCGGGGGTCCCGGACCCCTCGGTCGTCGCCGGCTACGCAGACTGCCTCAAAGAAGCCCTGAAATTCCTGCTGGAGAGAGAGCGTCTCCCTCCACAACATCCTGTGGTGGCCGGTCTTGCTCTCCATCTCGCCCGACCCAGCGCTAGAAGTGGCCTCCGACGAGCGTCGCACGACGCAGTAGCTAAACATCGACTCAGAAATGAGCAACAAAGTCTCGTTGATCGCGGCCTTCATCAGGTCAAGCATACAGTTCCGATAGGCAAAGCTCGAACCTCTTCAAGGTTCAGGCCGTTGCTGCCTAACTCAGTTGCAGGCTCTACGCACGACGCTGACACGGACGCTTCTCAGTCACAGCGGGATGTTAACGGAGAGCTTAGACGGAACCTGCAGCAGATAGTGGAAAACTTGGAATACGCCATCAATGACACACAAGATGACGACGACTCTGACTGCTATTTTTCTGATGAAGACGAAAGCATTTCAGAAGTTACCGAACCCGACGACCATCCAAACTACGACGTTGACGAGAACGATTTGGATGCTGAGATTGACACAATACTTGGCGACGCAGTGCTGCGCCGTGAGCTGGTGAGGTTGGTGTACCAGGGCTGTGATCTGGTCGCTGCTGCTCCTGTTCAGGCAGCTGCTGCTATCCTGCCTGCCTCGCCTGCTTCGCCGCAGCTGGGCGCTACTGCTGATCCTGAAGCACAGCCTATTCCTAATCCCCTGCATATTTAGGCGCTTGCAACAAAATTATTTTAAGATCAATATCAGCAATTCGACTGGAACCGATATGCTATTTTTTCCTCGATATGTTTTTTGGTCCTAAATTACATAGAAAAAAAAAAAACATTCTCGCTGTGCGCATACTGAGTAGCGCTCTGAAAATTCTTATATTGACCGTATGTTCTATGTTCATGAAATGCAAGACTGCAATTGGCAGGATTCGTTTGCAGTGTTTTAGGATTCGTTGAGGGAGTAAAGGCCTATTGATTAGCATTGATTATTGTGCCTCGGGACACTTGGACAGCACCCTTGCCTTCCATTGTATTCGAATGAAGCATTTCGGCGGCACGAGAATTCATCTGGCATTTAATAAATATTTTTAACTCTTCTGGCGGCTTCATACGTTACCAGCTTCAATTCTAAGCGCAGTTATTGAATTCTCTCGCGATGCCAGCTGCTATTTTGTTTGCTCAAGAATCGATTCAAAATATGATTCTCAAATTTATTAGTCGTAAGAATAAACATATTCTAGTCAATATTACCAAATGAAATGATATCATGATACTATATTAAGCCTAACTTATTAAATCGAGCAGTGAATTTCTCACAGTTCATTTAGTGAATAAGGTAATCCACCGTATTTTAGGTGCAAATGAACGCCGTATAAAAATTTATTCATATATTTTGTATCATTCTAGATTAAGACCACTTCAGCTGTTTGCATGTTAGAACCAGCTGCACGTAGTACCAGCTGTTTGTATGTTAGAACCAGCTGCACGTAGTACCAGCTGTTTGCATGTTAGAACCAACTGCAGTTATGCTAAAAACAGGTCCTGAAATGTCATAACCTGCTACTGACGGATTAGACCCAGCTGATGTAAGGTAAGAACCAGCTGCTGACAGATTAAAACCAGCTGCTGCCTTGTTAGTAGAACACTCGGACCAACTTGTGTTATCGATTGCAAATTTTAGCCATGCATCATCCAGTAACTATATTTTTTCATGCATTTTAAGTGCATAGCCTTGCATCATCCAGAAACAATATATTTACATGGAATTTAGGTGCATGTGTGTGACAAAATAAGTCTTACGATATATCTTTCCATTTGTTCATTGTTTATGCTAATCCGCAATTATATCCGTAAAGATACTGCTTCTTATGTGGAAGAATACAATGATATTTTCACAACATTTGTAGGCGGAGAGTTGGTAAAGTAACCATATCGCATTTACATCGATGAAAAATTACAGCTACATCGTGAGCAATTCCACAGAAGTTTCTTGTCGATTTTTAATGTGGAATACCGTGAATTGAGGAAACGGAAAACGAATTAGTGATAATACTTGTGGCAGGGGACTCTTTATCTGTCAGCTCTGACGTCAATTCAAGAGTCAGTTCCTGGGAAATTATTTTTTGCCGAACGACGTATTTTGTATTCATGTTATGAGGTGAATTATGCGCGAGCGCTCTTTATCGGATATAATTTGAATCTTTGAAATATTTTGAACAAGACGGGAAAGTTTGATCCATGTTGTTTTAAAACACACACATATGCTAGACTAGAACAAATGAATATGCAATGTGTTAGTTTTATTATCATATCTCTAAAGGTTATAAAATGATATCATTTTATTGCCTACTGCATCGCTGCATAGATACTCAATGCAAGGCATAACCTCAATATATAATTGTAATATAGAATAACACCCATGATGCACCAAAAATTGTCCACCTTAGTAAGCAAACGGCTTCGGGAGCAAAAAAAGGCTCAAAGCATTCATCTATATATCTTCAGATGCAACTTCTTCACTCTTAGTCGAGGTCAAAAGCGAGAAAGACGGACGAGTTGGGATTCTCCAAACCTTGAGTTTTTAAGTTTTTTTAAATAGCCTAGAAGCTGCACTGGGGCAAAAAACGCCCTCCATTAGATGCATTTATACTCGTCATCCACTCAAGTTTAGAGCGGTCCTGGCGTATGATATATTTTTTTATCTCAAACTAGTTTTTATACCTTGTTCAAGCTAGTGCTGCATGTCTTAGCTCAACGCACCATGCATGACGCTAGACTTCTAGCAACGTCATATGCACCAACAATATTTACCATTCGTTATAGCTCTCAAGATTATTTTTACCAGAAATTCAACCCTGAAGCCCCTGCTATTATAATATCTATTATGCATTTCGCCGTAACCCAGAATATCTCATATCGCATCACTGTACAGTGCATTGACATGGCGATAGCGGCATGTGTTTTCCCCATCATTCAGAAATGTTTGCCTCTCTTCTAGCCGACTCACCATGAGTGTATATGATTTGAATTGCTGCGCACCTTGTCGCAGGTATTGCGCCACACAGATGTATATTCTAAACAACATTGCACAGTATCTTTTAATGCTCATTAGAAGGATCTGTAATGTGCATTTTGTTCGTATATGTTTGACACGAAATTACACCGTGTATTCATTAATTTAGATATCAAATTCAAGCGTATGCAGTTAGAACGGCCTTCGGGAAGGATTTCCTAAGACATTATTTATAAAAGATTCGAGGGAATATTTGGTAATCTTATAGCGATGCATTATTTCTTATCAGTCGGTCATTATCGTCCCACATTTTTTCTTATCAAAAGATCTTGCATAATTATTTCAATGGTATAAAAACAAAGTGAAGACATTCTGTGTGGGTATTGAAACATCTGTTCTGGGGCTATTCTCGCCTCATACAGTTACTACTCCGGCTTAAATTCGCACGTGTGTGCTTTTTTTTTCTTCTTTTATAGATGCATTTCTGTTATTATTTCGAGATACTAAAGATGACTAATACAAAAAATTACTAATAATACTCAAGATGACTAATACAAAAATGATCGGGATCATACGTAAAAAAATTTCTTCACTTGGAATAGACTCAGACTCCGTAATTTATGGGTAACCTAGCGAAGTCTTCGTTGATGGCAGAAGAAACTACGCAGCAAATTCGTCATAGTCGTCATGGTGACCTCAGCAGAGCAGGTCAGAGCTCTGCTCAGAGCACTGTAGTCATGGTGACCTCAGCAGAGCAGGCCAGAGCTCTGCTCAGAGCACTGTAGTCATGGTGACCTCAGCAGAGCAGGGCAGAGCTGAGTCGCCAGGTTCAATGCTGTACTAACCTTGGCCGCAGGTTCGATGAGATGATAACATGATGATTGCGCGACCTCTCATTGCTCGAGCCTTATCGCCCTCAGCTGACACTCGAGCTATTGCGATCTTCGACATGATCTTAATTTCGGTGTTTTGGGTCCATTCGGAGTTTTGCTTAAAAAACACTATCACTAAATATATGTGCTTGATAGTAAAATTCAGTTTGTATAAAATGTATTAATAAATAAAAAAAACTTCTTGACAATTTAGTTACGTTAAGATAATTCCAATAAAGAGGCATATTATTAGTTGTTCAGGCCGTGGCTGCGTGTTGAACCAATATGTTTGATGACTGATTGGCATAATGTGCACAGCAACGTAGAATGTAGCGATAACGAGCTATGAAGAAGCCCTCGACCTAAAGTACCAAGATATTCTTTTCAGTTATTGAACTTCCCAGAACTGAAGGATAAAATATCATTTGGCCAAGAAGTCTTTTTCCTTGGCAGAGCTTTGCAATGCAATACAGCGAGCCGGACACCTGAGCATGGTACACTGCAGTGAGCCGGACGTCCGAGCTTGGTGCAATGCAGTGAGCCGGACGCCTGAGCTTGATGCAATGCAGTGAGCCGGACGCCTGAGCTTGATGCAATGCAGTGAGCCGGACACCCGAGCTTGAAGCGATGCAGTGAGCCGGACACCCGAGCTTGATGCAATGCAGTGAGCCGGACACCCGAGCTTGATGCGATGCAGCGAGCCGGACACCCGAGCTTGATGCAATGCAGTGAGCCGGACACCCGAGCTTCATGCACTGCAGTGAGCCGGACACCCGAGCTTGATGCGATGCAGTGAGCCGGACGCCTGAGCTTGATGCGATGCAGTGAGCCGGACACCCGAGCTTGATGCGATGCAGCGAGCCGGACACCTGACCTTGATGCGATGCAGCGAGCCGGACATTCGAGCTTGATGCAATGCAGTGAGCCGGACACCCGAGCTTGATGCGATGCAGCGAGCCGGACACCTGAGCTTGAAGCAATGCAGTGAGCCGGACACCCGAGCTTGATGCGATGCAGCGAGCCGGACACCCGAGCTTGAAGCAATGCAGTGAGCCGGACACCCGAGCTTGATGCGATGCAGCGAGCCGGACACCCGAGCTTGAAGCAATGCAGTGAGCCGGACGCCTGAGCTTGGTGCACTGCAGTTAACCAGAGCACGCGTGAAGCAATTAATGTGTATGGCGTAATCATTGCAGAAACACGTACAACTCGGCGGCAGAACGTGTCTCATATTTGAAAACAGAGCAGACTTTGTGGTAGTGGAATTTAGGATAAAAACACACTGAAACTATGGTTTTAAACGCCATTCTTCACCAAGGCTCATGGGCAAATGTATAGGCTCATATTATAGTGATCACATCATGACACAAGATTCACGTAATTTTATAATTATTGAAATGGACACTTTAATATTTCCTTTTTGAGGCCGATGTGTAAGCGAGCTTGCAATAAGGATTACACGACGAATACGATCAAAAAATATGAGCTGGTGAAGTTTTTTTTCCCAAATCAATTCAACTGTCAAAAATGATACCCGAGAGCGAAGACCACTGCCTCTGATATTCCTTTATGATATATCATCACATAACTTCAAACACAACATATGCGTTACCAACGTCTTAAGTTGAGACGATTTCGTCTGAGTTTTTGAGCAATATGTGATACCTACTGTCGACTGGGACGACCTGAGTGACGTCACGAGGTCGATAAATTGATTGTCGTGTATTATTAACAGGGATAACTCCGCAATATCCTCCGTTTCCGGATCTCGGCAGAATCTAGATTTGCGTGCGTTCACAAATGAGATTATAATAATGACATCATGACAAATGAACACTGATGTTGGAAATTTAATTTATTTTCTAAAATTTTTCGTGCACGTGAAAAAAATTACCGGAGATGGATGAAAAAATTACAGCAGATTGTTTCGTTCCATTCGACTGCGCTAATCAATTATGTATTCATTTAATAGATATTCGCAACAAACCATAATGATGGAAACTAAGAAATCTTTACGTCATTCTATGCCCACCTAATACTATTTTCAAATAACTAGAGTAATTTACACGTAATTTTAAGTTTATGTCTACGGTAAAACTTATGATCAGCGTTAAAGTTTATGCAAATGCACGTGTTGGGTTTTCTACGTCGCGCATCGCTGACTGATACATGCATTGCGTGGGCAATTCATTGACCCGTCCTGTGACACGTGGCGCTATCGTTACTATAGGAAGAAGTTTGATAAAATCCTGAAATTATGCATCAATGTATTAATTGATCTAATGCTTTCATGATTTAAACTGTTATGATTTGTTTTATTGATGTTGTTCACTAAGTTCTTTACGTTATTTCACTGAATGTAGTAAATTTTGTCAAAGGCTGCATAAAGTAGTGGATGAAATCGTTCAGCAGGTGTTCGTGTTCTAACAGGTGCAGCAGAGATACGTGACCGAATCAGGGTGGCGGACATAAGTGCATTGATAAAGTTTGATGAAGAAAAAACTCAACCAAAAGTAAATAAAAAAATCATATAGTTTTTCGTCTTCGCTTGTGAAAGCGATTGACCGTACGTCAACTATCAGCGACCTCATAGATAAACTCATTCACCAATGAATTTGCTGATCATTTTCCTGGTGGTCACTAGATTTTTCTGGTTTGATTAATCGGTTATAAGCAGCAAAATCCGGAATCGATTTAAATGTAGTTTGTCGTGTTTTTATTACAACTTGAGAAAAAAGTAATATCTAAGCACTGTTCCCCGAAAGAATAATTTTATTCCACAGTTCCCAAATCCCAAAAATGCTTTTTCTTTCCCTCAAGGTATATTTCTTTTGAATGTTCTTCACACACTAAACACTAATGTACAATAATTGTGGAATACGCACTTTAATGGTAATGAGTATGAAATAATTTCATATTTCTTCCGATGCAAAAACAGTTTATCTGCAAAATGGTGCCTGCAGCGATAAACTACATTATAGCCAAAAATAATAAATGCCCGCGCTGCACAAATCACACGGCATCAATTATTCCTTCGGCAATGTCTGTCGAGTTCTAACATAATTTACTATTAAATGTAATTAAAGAGTGCAGTGCGCAGAATAGTACTTCATTTCGTGTGTACATCATAATATGCAAAATAAACTGCCGGTTCCATGCAAAGTTTAAAACCTGTGAGCGCAGCCGTGGGTAACAAAATTGACTCGTAAACAGGCCCTGGGCAGCATGCAATATCTACACATAGCCTCAGATCAATGAGCTGTGGGTAACTCCGGCTAACAGTAAATCCGCTTTGCACAACACAGCCACTGCTTCACAGCGCCGGAGCCCAACTGGCCGGAGCGCAACAGGCCCTACCGCAACAGGCGGCGCAGGTTAGGTTACGTTAGGTTAAGTTACGTTAGGAGTAGCTGTTGCGGTAGGGCCTGTTGCGCTCCGGCCAGTTGTGCTCCGGCCTGTGTGCGCTGCGGCCTGTGACGGCGCTGATGTGGTGGGCGCTTTGTGTCAAAAGCAGTGAAGATGCCCGGCTGCGTTACGCTCGGGAAGTTATATGAATCGCACTGTGGACTTGGTCTATGCTGACCTCTAGCTATCCACCCTAAAACCTTACTTAACTGCGTAATTTTTTGCCAGTTCCATTTAGCCGGCCTCGCGCACACACACTTCGAAACTATAGTCTCAACTCTCACACAAGCAAAAGCATATATCTTTCCGGGTTAGGAGACACTAACCACTAATTTGTTTCGTCGGGAATAGCTTGATTATATTTAAGTATTAAATGTTTACCGGATTGTTGGCCTCAATCCACATATCAAGCGTTTAAATATATTTTAGACCTTGGATATTATGAATGACTGAAATAAGATTTAGGCAAAAACTGACACTCTACCGTCGCTTAAGTGGAATAAAATGCAAACATATATACTGCCACGTGAAATAGTCATCTGTATCCCATCTAGTCATCTGTAATTGAAACTGCTGGATACAAAACGTGAGAATTGGAAAGGTTATCAGTAGTCGTCACCTAAAATAAGTCCGCCCAGTTAAATGCCATTCGTCACTTTTTCAATTCATTACGAATCTCCCCAATCATAATAAATAAAGTTCACACATTGTGTTGGTTCTTTCATATTCTGTGTTTAGTTCTCTCTATAATTATATCATTAAATGACTATCGTTATTTGCTTAAGTTATGAAAAATTACTCAAAATTCAAAGTCTTTAGTACCTGCACACATTGCATGTAACTCTATGCTCGGATCTTGAGTATAAAAAGCCCTGCCACGTAAACGCGTCATTCACTAATTAGCATGGTCAGTGTCATCTTAGAAGTTCAATGCTCTGAAATAAACGCAAAATACTTACGCAGAGAATTCTGTTAGTGTTGGCTCCTTTTAAATCGGGTAATTGTTATAAAATTTGTTTATTTTCTGGCATTGTCGTATGAACGTTGCCGCTGGCTCTGCTGCGAGAGCAAGTCTATAAATACAAGTAGCTCCGTGTAGGCAGCCTCTTTTCCACTCTGTTGTTCACAGGGCGAACATCATGCCTGAGACTGGTCTTTTGAATGGCCATATTAATGGCAATGGAACTACTTCCAGCGGACGAGAGTGTGAAAATAGCGAAAGTTTTTTGTTCACAAGTGAAAGTGTAGGCGAAGGACATCCTGGTGAGTTAATTGTTACATTCGAAGTGTTTTCGAAATTACTGTTATTCTGATTTCGAATGTGTCGGATATCTTGTGTTGAGTGCTCATCGATTGTAAACGTCTTGAAATTAGGTGATGCGTAAATTTACGGTTGAGCTATAGCCCATACTCATTCATTTGAAGTATGGTCCTATAAAGTTCTACTTGTCCCATTTATCTATATTTAGATGACCTTTTTCCGCGAATCGTTGGCTTGCCATCGTGGCACACATGCTGATGACCTGAGCAAGCGGCAAGCATGCTGCGTTCTGCTTACCACGAAGCCATGGCGGCTTGCGTCATCCTGTTGTTTTAAAAAACGAAAAGTGGTCAAAGTTACCCTGCCGGTCAAAGTAACCCCATTTTACGGTATTGAAGAACCAGGTATTTTGTGATATTTAATATATTTAGTCCCTTGCAAACCACTTTTTCAGAATGTGGAAATTGTTAATGATTTAAAATGTGTCAATAAACTAGTTAACTGATGGTTATAAATCATAATCACTAACCAACTAAACCCCCCTGAGCATTAGCCACTAGACACTAGCCAGTATGCAGGTGGAGTGCATAATGCCTCAGGCAGAAACAAAGTAACCCAACTTTCCTATAATTCTACCATGCTGAGTGCAGTTATTGAACAATTAAGTTGAAAGATTTTGATTGTAAAATTCTACTGTTGAAACAGTGCTATCAAAGTACCAGTTAACATGCCTATAAGCAGGATTTGTGTGTTTTTGCAAGACTGATTTGGATGTGAATGTCATGCTGTGTCAGTCCTATAGCATAGTTATTATCTTTATCTTGTCACGAGTCTTCTAAACTATATATTTTCTTGGTTTTAATAGTTTTTTGAAGTTATTATGGAAAATTTTCTAGAATTTTTTTATGAAAAATTTTCTAATAAGCTTTGAAAAATTTGATGCATATTTAATTGCTCATATAATTTCATTGGATTTTAAAACATATAATGTTCTATGCATTTTGAATAAATAAATCTCTTCTCCTTTCAGATAAAATATGTGATCAGATCAGTGATGCTATTCTGGATGCACATCTCAAACAGGATCCCAATGCCAAGGTATAGTAAATAGATTGCTGAAATTTTCAGCAAGCTTTAAAATTCTGTTATTTTGGTTTCATATAATTAATTAAAATTATATTTTTCCTATTTTTCAATCTCCTTTGTAACTCAATAATATGTAAGAGCTATTTGCATAAGAATTTATAATTTTACTAAGCATCATGACTAACAGTGATTGTTTGTTTTTCATTTCAATCTTTCAATTTAGATATGAAATCAGACTATCTTCCATTTAAAATTTATTTGTGACATTAGTAATATATGTATCATCTAAACATGAATTGTTATTGTATTTATGTGCTGTTGAAGATCTACTACTTTCAGGTGGCATGTGAAACATGCACAAAGACTGGCATGATAATGGTTATGGGGGAAATCACATCCAAGGCTGTCGTTGATTACCAAAGTGTGGTGCGCCAAACTATCAAGAAAATTGGCTATGATGATTCCAATAAAGGTATGATAAATTTTAGTTTTTGTTGATCACTTCTAAACATTTTTGTGCAATTCATATCAATTATAAGTTATAGCAATCTTAGGTGGCAAATTTCATACGAGATTTGTGTATATTTTAAATTTTAAGCCAGTCATTTGTTTGGGGAGAGATATCTTAAGCATAACTGCTACTGTTGCAGTATCCACCGTTTTGTAACTTCTGCCCCTTGTGGGTGATGAACAATTTTGGATTTGAGAATCTCTCGATAAGTGAGACCTTCCACCTCTTTGGTGATGTTCATCTTGGCTTTCAGTGCAAGATAGCTAAATAGCTGAAGCGCTAGCAAACATTTGGCTACTTAACTATAAGCTTTGTAATTTTCTAACAATTCTCTTGAAAGCAGTTCATCCATCTTCCTCTTTGATGCCGTGTTCAACATGATTTGGCCATGCATTCTTTGAATTTATCATTCATTACTGGGATTAACTGCAACTTTTTTGAATTCTGGATGTCTTTTTCTTAGGCTTTGATTTCAGGACATGCAACTTATTAGTAGCGCTAGAAGAGCAGTCTCCTGAGATAGCTAGCGGTGTACACCACGACAGAGATGAAGAAGATGTTGGTGCTGGTGACCAGGTAGCTACCAGACTAAGAGCAGGTTGCTGCTGACATGCTGCTGCTTTAACGCTTCTTACCATTTAAGGTGGCGGTTCAGGTGCTACACGTGGATGCTGCTTGACTTTTGTTCCTGTGCAGGAATGATGCATGTAAACAGTATTTCCATCAGTTTGGTGGATGCAATGCTGTAATGTTTGCCTTTGACTTAGAGCCATTAATTGCCAAATTGTAGCCATTCTTGACATTCTTTGAATTGTAGCCATTCTTGACATTCATTTTTCTCCACTCGTCTGTTAAGAACAGCTAAATGGCTGTACTCTTAAACATCTTTCATTGTTTTGTGCTGCTATTGTATATTGAACATCAGAAATAGAACTCTGTATTCATTGAGTGGCAATGCCTGCAACACTGCGTTGGTTTCATTGTCATTCTGCCATGTCTTTTGAAGTCCTATCAGTTATCATTACCATCTCATCATATGTATTTTGTAATCAACCTCCACAAAAATATTTGCCTTAAACCAGAATGTTTGGTGCAAGATGAATTGCAATTTATTTTTGTCCTTGCATTGAAAATGGTCTCATTGGCTTTGAGAATCTTTCATGCAGCGAGGAAAATAAATTAATTAATAACTTATTGTGTGGTGTGTGCCTGTTAAACTCGAATTTTAATCTGTTTCGTCCATTTTAGTAAACAGGATTTCACTCAGTTCTGTCAGAAGGCATCATTTGTTGAAAGCAATATATGTCCTGGGTCCAAGTCAACTTGCTCTAGGCACTTTAGCTGTGTCGGTGTCTCATTGTTGCTGATGCTGACAGGCTTTGACTACAAGACATGCAATGTGTTGCTGGCCTTGGAGCAACAGTGTATCGAGATTGCCCAAGGCGTTCATCTCAGCCGCGACGAGGAAGATGTTGGTGCTGGCGATCAGGTAACGAAGAGACCACGGTTGATACGATGCACTTGCAAATGCCACAGCTGCATTGTTCATTTCCACAGCTGTTCAGTTACAATTGCTCTTGGCTATTACGTTCGTATCATTGATACCTGTACCTAGCAGGTGTTGTGCGGTGGCATTGCATGACCAAGAAAATGAATCAATCAAATAAATGGATTTCGTTTTGGCTATTCCATCCTGCAATAACATTTTTAATTTTGCCATGCATTTTGTCTTATTGTTTGAGGATTGGCACTTCGAGGACTCGTTAAATCGACTTGATTCTTCCGTACCTGGATTATTTTTATGTACAGAATCCCGTTACATGGTGGCCAGCAATAGCGTGTGCCTTTTTTTTTACTCATCTTTGCTTATTGTCAGCCCGTTGTGATTTGAGACCCTTCTTCATGTTCAGGCGTGTGCTTCATATACACTTTTGTCTGTCGACTCAATTTATGTGGTTCTTGTTTCCTATTTCTTTGCGACTTTTGTTCAATTCTCTATGCTGAAAAAAATTGCACGTTTTTACTTTTTCACTCAAGTACTGCACGTTTTTTTTATTCATCATTCATCTTTGTACTTGACATATTTTTAGTACGCGAATTTAAGCTATTAAATGATGTATTCCAGTCATATTGTATCTTGTTTTCAACGAATGTGTCATACTGATCTTTGATGGATGTAATTTACATTTAGATTAATTTGTTCCCTTTCAAATTACATTTATATTTATTTATTTTAATGTATTTATCAGCCAGAAGAAATACCAGCATATTGATCTGGCTACCTGCTGACGAAATCAGCCCGATTTTGAGCAAGAACTCTTTTAATTAATTGTGCTGTGCATTCTTAGTTGACATATCTACGCTAGTTCATTTTAAAGTAATTTTGATGTTACCACTGTAACTACGGTTCAAAGTAAATCTTAGCTGCTTATCCGCATCATATTTTGGATGTCATTCTTAGATATTGATGCCTGAAGCTCTTGAACATATTTGTTTTAATGCTTACGGGCACACAACTATGATTTTGTCTTGAAATATAGTATCTTGTTATTCATTATTTAGAGGATAACCATTTTAATGTACCTTCTAGGGCTTGATGTTTGGATATGCTACCGATGAGACTCCAGAAGCGATGCCTTTAACGGTAGTACTCGCACACAAGCTCAATCAAAAGATCGCAGAGCTGCGTCGTGACGGCACTTTCTTCTGGGCGCGGCCAGATTCAAAGACACAGATCACAGCGGAATATTTCTTCGAGTGAGTCGTCTGACAGTTCAAAACTGCTGTTTGTTTCTTTGTTAATAGAAATAGTAAATGTAAAAAAACGTGCTTCTTTTAAGAGAAGCGTGTTGTTAAGCGATTCATTGCAAAATACTTCAACGATCTCTGGAAATAATTAGTCGGTGTCTCTGTTTGCAGTCATGGCGCCGCTATCCCCACCCGTGTTGACACAGTTGTGGTGTCATGCCAACATTCGGAAGAAATCAGTCTGGAGGATCTGCGTCACGAAATTCTCGAGAAGGCTATCAAAGTCGTTATTCCCGAGAAATATCTCAAGCCTGACACAAAGTTCCATATTAACCCATGTGGAAAATTTATTCTTGGAGGTCCCCAAGGTGACGCCGGCCTCACAGGTCGCAAGATCATCGTAGACACGTATGGTGGTTGGGGTGCTCATGGAGGAGGTGCCTTCTCTGGCAAGGATTATACTAAAGTAGATCGATCAGCTGCGTACGCTGCCAGATGGGTGGCCAAGTCACTGGTTGATAACAAGCTCTGCCGACGCTGCCTCGTGCAGGTACGACTTAGACTTGCATACACATCTGATGTCATCAAACTATTTGAAGTGGCTCAAGTCGGAACGCATTCTTCTGCTATCCTTAGTATCCTAAGTATTTGTTTGGGACATAGCAGTCCCAGGCCACGATGGATCGCCGCCTCTGTTCCCCATGATGCTTAAAAAATCAATGGTTTGATATTATTTTCGTGGATTCAATTTCAAATTGGGTTAAACGTTAAAGTGATGAAGTCAGTTCTTGAGTTGATTAAAAATTATTTTTGCAGGTTTCGTATGCTATTGGCGTGGCGGAACCTACTAGCATCGCAATTTTCCACTACGGTACCTCACCCTACTCGTCGCGTCAGTTGCTTCAAATTGTCAAGCATAACTTCGACCTTCGACCTGGCAAGATCGTGAAGGAACTTGGCCTGAAATTGCCCATCTACAGTGAAACCTCATGCTACGGTCACTTCGGGCGCGAACAGTTCGCCTGGGAGAAACCCAAGAAATTGGTCATTCCCGATGATATTCCCCGCCTTTAAAAGAATCCGGTCATTAGACCACGATTTTATGTTGTTGATGCACCCTTATAGTTTCCACTACACCATCACTTGAAATTCGGGATTTGATGCGGTGTATAACCTGCCTGTCTAGTGATAAGAGTTTGTTTTTAAGTGCATGTCGGTCGCACTTTCACTTGGAACTGACCAATTTAAAATATTTCTTAAATTGAATTGATCGGGCATTCATTTAACCAGTTCGAAGTTGGGACCAGTTTGAGGCAGATGTCGTCATGTGTGCTCCACTTGATGCCTTTCTACGTTTCGCTCTCTCGCTGTCCAACGTTGAAATATTTCTAGATTTAGGACCCATGTCTATAGTTTGGCGAGCAGACGTTGACAGACGAGGCATGATGGGCCCTTGACAGGGGGATCACAGTGGGGTGCTGAGGAGTGGTCACAGCTCTCTCGTCATGCTTTTGACTCTCCAGCTTTAAGTCTGAGTAACGTAAAACATTAAAGTCTATTATGCGAGTCGCATTGATAGTTATGACAGCTAAATCGCGAAACTACACAAGATGTGCTCAATGCAACTACTTCGCTGCCATCAAATGCTCAGGTTTGGTTAGTTCTATATTGTTCAAGAAATTTTCAACAAGTTAACGCTTTGAATTTGGAGTGTCAGTCGTCCTTGACGAGCATCTCTGCACTCGCCTCAGCAGCCGCTGCAAATGGTGCAACTTGTTTACGACCTGACTACTTGTTGGCCACCTTCACATCGCAGCGAGCTCACTCTCGCTTTCACTAGGCCAGCAACTTCATCTACTGCACTTTTTGTGTTGTGTTTACGAGAATTGGAATGGAAAAGAGCATTTCCCTAAACACTCCGGTCCTCCTGCGGGTCGCCCTCATGCTGTTACTCCGTACGTCTCGTTCTGTCAATTTTTTTAATTGTATGTGATCATAAAACTCTAGTGTACGCTAGGCTGCAGTTGAAATTGCTTGTGTGTTTTTCTGATCGTTTGGTTGAGCCAAATCGCTGCACTTTTATGTATTTATTGCGTTTACGTATTTTTATATCAATATTTTATCATCTTCACTGCTATAAGAATCGGTTACCTGGTACTTGAGGTACTTATCCCTGCTCCCGAATGAATAAATTTTGCTGCATCCTCGTTCTGTTTTAGGACCTTAAAATTAAATGTGCCTTAGAATAACAATAACTATCGCATAACATACATCTTGCGGCATTCGAAGGTAGTAATAACATTCAAAGGAAGCAGATGTTTAGGTTATGGAGGATGAAGCCTAGGAATTGTAGGATCCAGCCGCCTTGATGAGTTAATTGCTAATATTTTCGGGCTGGCGTATTAGTGGCGTTTAAGCTGATGATAATCGAGTCTGTTTCACCTTCCTCGGAATACCGACTCGGTCTCTTGTGGGTTGGCTATTAATTTAAAGCGTTGCGAGTATCCACTCGGGAGGAAGCAGTCGTGACTCATAAACCGGTCATGAATAGTGATTTAATAATCATCTACCGGTAGTCCTGGATATATGCGTTACAGGCCATTTCTCCTGACTTCGCTCATATCATGTACTTGCACGTAATCTGGTTTTGTTTGCTGTCGATGAATATCTCAACGATTCGTGCAAACGTTAACTGTTCAACTCGCTACTTTATTTTCCATCTGAAGAGTGCTTCGAAGTGTTTTCATCTTCAATCCCTGGCATGTGCAATTTTGCAACGATAGACCTGCAACATAAACTCGTTAACACGGCCAAAGGGTTAAAAAAAAATCCGGTCATCGTTCTGAGTGAACGCGAGGTTATAACATAACTGCACTTGGCGAAAGCTCGCCGTTGACTTTCCATACACAGCTTCACCCTTACACTCGCCTGCCAGAGCAAGACTTAGATAAAATTACTTTTTTTTTCCATTCTGGAAAGTAGCCTTCAACAATACCTAGAAGACTCAACACATACAATGAATAAGGGGCACAGTCGGGCCGGTCGTAAATTTGTTTGACACCTCTATAAGTCGCGAATAAAGGTGAAATGGACAATATTTTCACGAGATAAACATCACCGTTAAGTCCTAATGAATACGTGTACCAAGTTTCATCGAGCTACGTTCTTTAGCTTGGGAGATATCCCTTGGTCGCTGAATTGGGAGACCGGCCGTGAATTTGTCCGACACCTTGGATTCACCTCCCTACCCGTTTTGCCCTTGGATTGCGAATAAAAAAATGTGATTTTATTCGTGAATTCTTATATTCGTTGAGCATTTTTTATATGAAACGCTAGTCAAATGGGTGTTCTATCTTCCCAGTAAAAATGTAATTTTGAACGGCTCGCTGTTTAATTAGCATCCATAAGTTTTATTGTTATTAGCCTGGTTAGGGACAACTGCAATGTGTCAGAATTTGGGAAGACTAGATTCTGAAATTGCAATGATTCTAGAATATCGACATAACCGGGCACATCATATGGGGCACTCAATAACGGATACAACATATCAGCTGTTGATTTATTGGCCATAGCAACATTCATGGGAGTGAAGCAGAGTCTAGCAGCTGACTGAGGCTGACAGAGTCAGAATGACAAACGGTGCACATACGAATGATCGCTCTGCACCAATATTTATTTCAATAAATAACGTCATCATTTCAAGCTAGAAGGCTCTGTTTTACAGTCAGGATCAAATGTACACATACTAAAATTAGTTCCGCTGTCGGAGAATTGAAAATTTTAGTTGGGTCTTGCGACTTGCGGACTTGGGACTTAGGAGTTCAATTACCTATATTAGGCATAAGGCATTCTCTGCAATTTGTGACAGATTTTATTCATTAAAAGCATGCAACTGAGTTTCTGAAGGCATATTAGATTTAGTTATTTTAGTAGGTCTAATATCCTATTACTTCCAGAAGTTCCAGTTAGAGGGTACTTAGCGACTGGGCCTACTGGCTAGCATCATAGCATGCCTTTCTGGAAAAGCTAGCAGAAGCATGACAGAATTGGAGGTACCTTTTGGGCTTTTAGGCTTTAGTCTTTTAGGTCTTACTAGATCCATCATAAGTTTTTCGTTTATACCTATCCATTCCTGTTTTTTTATTATCCTTCAACAATCAAATAATGTGAGCCTGTGAACTGTGAAGACCAGGAAGGGCCTGTGATTGCTTTTGAAGTTTAGACTTGAATAATTACTTTCATTTTATGCTAAATAACCTCCCAAGTCTCAACTTGCCCCAACACAACAATGCTGTCAATGCAAATATTTATTATAATGGAATAAACATTTGCCCTCATCACTCATGCGGGTCATGCCCCTCAAGGCTCAAGTCAAGCCCCTCATAAAACATTCCATTACAATTAGCTCCAAATCTTGCCCAGGATGGGCATGGTCATACAGTTACAGTTGCAGTCTGTTGCAGTGAGTTTGCACTATGTTTACTCAAAGAACCGCTTTACACGCTATTATTGTAGCTAATTACTGAGTGAAGTTGTAACATACTATAGGTAGTGTGGTAGTAGAATGAATGAATGTGACATTCATGATATTTTTAGTATAAAATTGCCAGATTATGAGTAACTGCCATAAAAATTCCAGATAATCTCATGCCAATTAAATTGTTTTAATTATATATGTATATAATATATAACCTGCTAAATCTAGGATATTCTAAGATATTTGTTCAACACATATATATGCATTATTATGCATAATATGGCAACTACAAATGTAATAACTATTTAATTTATAGCTAAGTTATCCAAATCCTTACCTACCCATAATAATTTTTAGAGCTATTATAATCATTATTTCTTCTGCCAATTATTTTCAGATAATTCAGATCTGCTACTAGACATAATTCTGCTAAAATGGCTGGTACAAACTATTCACCTCTTTCCCCAGCATGTGTCAGAGCTTTGAGCGATAAAATTTCAGACAAAAGGAAAGCAGCCGCTTTGGAGATTGAAAAGTAAGAGACATGTGTACTCACTACTCATACATATATTTTTCATCTTAAGCATGATTGTCACCATAAATAACACAAGTTTTTACAATCTCATTTTTGTATTATACTATTTACTTTATTTTCATATCCATTGAAATGTTTGGTTATGTTCTACTTGCTGAAAGTGACCCCAAATACCAGAATGCGTTGTTAGAGCAAGGCAATTCAATTCAGAAATGTTGCTAAGCAGCTATATAAATTTTGAGCTTGTATTTTAATTGTAAAAAGTATTTTTTTTATTGTTTTCATTTAAATGGAACCAACCAAATGTTATGCAGTAATTTATTACATTTATAAGTTATCAAAACTCTTTTTAACCAACTTACATTTTCAGGTTGATTAAGGATACAGTAAATAACCCACCAGAAGTGAAGAGAGTCATTGCCATGCTGGAAGAATACACAGCAAGTTCCAACTTACACAGCAAAAAAGGAGGACTTATTGGACTGGCTGCTGTAGCTGTTGGCCTCGGCACTCGGGTAAAACTTGCAACATGATAAATTTCTTCACTCTTTAGTAATGGAAAAATTTATTTTTCTTTCTTATTTCTTATTTATTTCTTCTTTCATGTTTGAAATTATTGTCAATTTGAATATGAATTTATAACAATTGATATATCTATATGTAACTGCATATATCATACCTCCCTACCTTTACTTGTATGATTTAGGAAGAAATATTGAAGCAACTAAAAAACAGAAAGTCTACTGATTTTAGGTACCTTAAAATGGGGTTACTCCCAGGGTAACTTTGACCACTTTTTGTTTTCTTAACAAAAACCCCTAAAACTCAAGAACTATTTGACATAGAAAAATTTTGTCATCGGCCATTAAAGGCCTAATACTGAGGCTACTTAACACAATAGAAAGATTTGAAAAGTTTGCATATCTAATAGGTTAAATAATTAAAAATGTGACCCACAAAAAAGAGCTATTATTTAAAGCCTGTCAGAGTAGGTACCCGCTCCAATTTTTTTATTTTTTGGTAAAATAACTCCAGGTTTTGATGCATTGTAGTAGAACTCTTCTAGTTACATATGCAAATGACAAATTTTAGGAAAGTGTCATAGTTTGCAAATGGAGGGTGCCGCCCCC